AATAGGATTATACAGTATCTCTAACTGAGATTAATCCTAGAAAGGTAAAATTTACTTACATTTTGCAATGCAATCAATATAATTTTCCATCTTATTAAACTGAAAAAGGAAATCATATAACATTTCAATTTAAGGAAAAAAAGTAACAAAACTCTAGCATATATTCCTAAAAATAATCTCTCACCATGCTAAGATTAAAATTTCTCTACCTGATATCTATGGAAGTGTATTATTTTAAAAGACTTATAATAACTTCATACTTAACAGTAAAAGATTGAATGGCTTCTTATCAGGAGCAGGGGAAAGGTACAGATTTCTGTTCTCATCACTTCCATTTAACACTGCACAGGGGATGTCAGCCACCGCAAAAGACAAGAAAAAGCAAGTGAAAAGTATCCAGATGGAAAGCAAGGAATATCAGTCTTTATTCATAATTACTACAACAGTCTACATACAATAACCAATGAGACTATTAAAAAGTCAGTAGAACTCATAAGCTTATTAATACTATATGATATGATATTAGTATTGTAAGATCAATTATTAGTATATACAGTCAAATGCAAATTGGAATTTGAAAATAAAATAATACAGTTTAAATGGCATAAACAGTGTGAAATGGCACTATATTTGATTAGAAATTCAAGAGTGATACACAGAATGCTACTCAGAAAATTTTTAAAGCCTATAGAAGCAAGAGATATACCATATTCATGGATTAGAGGAACTATTGTTTTATAATTCCAATTTTACACAAATTGTTATTCACGTTCAGTGAAACTCAAAAAAAAAAAAAACACCAAGCAAGATTTTTAAAGAAATTGACAGGAAAAATTTAGAATTTATATGGAATTGGAAAGAAAAAATATGTAAAAGAGTTATACTGTCATGCATAAATTTATGATAATTAGCCAGTATGGTGTTGATATTAATAATGAGAAACCACCAGAATAAAAAGTCTAGAAGTGGATCCAGATAAACATTCAAATGATTCTTTACAAAGGTACAAAACCAATACAATGTATAATCAAGGAATGGTATTTGAGCAATAAATAAAAATGTGTAAAAAACTAATTTTGTTCTATGCCATATTTCAGATTAACTAAAATGCAGGTCCTTGACATAAGTGGAAAACATTAAAATATGTAACATCTAAAGGAAAATAAAAGAAAATATTGGAGATCTTCAGTACAGATGAATAAATATAACACCCAAAGTTTAATTTTCAAATGAAAACAAATTGATAAATTAGATTTCATCAAATTTCAGAACTTTTACCCTTCAAAACCCATTTTTAAGAACAGGAAAATATAAGCTCCAAACTAAAAGGATACATTCTCAAATTATATAGCTGATAAAAAGAATTGTATACAAAATGCACATAAAGTTTCTTCAAAATTCAATAAGAGCAAATAACCCAATACAAAATTGAATAGAAGGTTAAAACAGATACTTCACCAAAGCAGGTGGCAAATAAGTACAGAAAAACAGTCAGTTAGTAGAAAATTGAAACTGAAATCTAAATCATGACCTATTAGACTGTCCAAATTTTTTTTATCTTAAAAATAAAATAACAAAAATAATGACAAAATGAAACAACACGAAAACTATAAAAAGATTAGTCGCTCAGACCACCAGACACAAGCATGCACATTGTAAACATTAACATTGTAATCATTAACTGTTCATTTCAATACACCATCAGATATCAGCAACACAGTTACCGCAAGTATTCATGTATATATATTTATATTTTGCATTTCTTCTTTTTTTTTTCTTTCCCTCATCCCAAGCATTCCTTCCTGCGAGCAATTTCTTTCCCTTTCCTATCATCTATTGTACATTTTGAGTTTTACCTAGTCTTTCAGGTTCCTACATCAAGGAGACAACATGAGGTTTTATTAACCATCTGGGTCTGATTTATTTCACTTATGAGTATGGTCTCTAGTTGCATCCATTTACCTACAAAAGCCTCAAGATTATCTTTTTTAATAGCTGACTAATACTCCATCATGTAAAAATACCACATCTTTTTTATCCACTCCTCAGTGGATGGGCATCTGGGTTGTTTCCAAGATTTAGCTCTAACAAACTGTGCTGCTATAAACATGGGTGCACATATATCACTGTCTATTGATTCGTATTATTTTGTCTTGAGACTATCACTTTGAATGTTCTTGTTTTGATTTGTTTATGTTTGTGATACTGGTATGCTGCTACTATTCTATTTCTTTGTCTGTTTCTCAATTACTAATTTCTTTAAAATAAAAAAAAGTAAAAATTCAAATTCATACCTTTTAAAAAACTATAAAAAGATACAGAACTTCAAAACAAGATGACAGGAAATCAGCAATGAATGTTGTATTACTTATTGTTAAATACTGACAATATCAACTACTCACAAAGATACAAAAAAAAAAAAAGAACCTCTATACACAGTTCTAGGAATTTAAAACAGTATAAATACTTTGGAAAGCAGCTGATAATCCTAAAAATTGTAAAGTTGGAATTGTAAGACCATTGGCCCACTAGTAAAAATAAGGATCAAATATTAATACACAAAGACTGATAAATGCCAAAATTATATTGAATGAAGGAAGCTAGAATCCCAAGAGTATCTCCAGAATTATTCAGTTTATATAAAATGTAACATTATAATGATCAAAATATAGACAAATGTTTGTCTAGAAACAGGGGAAAAGGAGATGGAAGGGAGAAATTACAAAGTAATCATCAGTATAGATATATGGAAATGGGTATACATAAATGGAGAAATTACAGTGTAAATTCTAAGTATGTACATGTATTTAAGCCAGTTATATCCCAACAATCTGTGGAAATAAAAGCAAAAGTAGAAAACTGAATATTGGTCATCAATTATTGCATTTCCTCAACAGTTCTACTCAGATGTTAGCATCTTTTAGTGTTGACTGGTCCTTCCCTTTTCCCTTCTCTCTTAATTTTCTTCTGCACACCAAATCAATCATCTCATTTTTTTATGCTGCACCTTACTTTCCACATGCAAGATTTCCATTTTAAATTATGGTTTTTAAATGCTTGCCAGTCAATGTTCTTATAAAAACTACCCATACCCTCAGGCTGTAAGGGGAACTACTTGTCTTTTCTATTTTATGTTTAGAATTTCACCTAACATTTTGTGAATGAGCCATATTCTTTAGATAACTTAGGATCATCATTATTAACATTAGTTACTTTGCTACAATAATATTGGTATCTCCTGACTACTTTACCTCCATGTATTTTACCTCACTCCAAACTGACTTAGATTTTTCAGCTTTGAAAATTCTTCTTTTTTTTTAGACATTTCTTTTCCTTTGCCTTCTTGTTAAACAGATTGTCGACTGTCACTTCTGCTGTTTTTATGAGTCTGCTGAAGGAATATTCACAACTCTTTTCTTTGTAATTTTCTATCTTTAATCTGTTTTAATTCATAACAATTATAACCAAGGCAGTAAGAATGCTGTGTAAGATGGAACAACTATAAAACCTGAATGAGTAACCAGAGGATTATTATTTTGAGGAGCATACATGGAATTTGTGCTATCAGTTTTTACACTTACTATTGTTTCCAAGTCAAATGATGCTTATCTGATGTTGCTGTGCCTAATTCCTAAAATAAAATGTAGGACTAAGCCGGGCATGGTAGCACACACCTGTAATCCTAGCACTTGTTACACTGAAACAGAAAGATAGCCACAAGTTTAAGGCCAGCATGGGCTGCATGGTGAGTTCAAGGTCAGCTTACCCTACATAGCAAGACCCTTTCTCAAAAAATCAAAATAACAATAATAATAATAATTAATAAATAAATGAAATGCACAACTGAAATTTCTTGTGTCCCTAGGGGAAGATACTGTCAATTTTTCATAGAATAATTTGCCAAGTTTGTCTTTTTTAAGAACTATATGCAATGTTCCTTTCTACTTATGCAGCTGTTTCTCATATGCTGGTTTATAGCTAGTATGCAGTCCGTCTTATGAACAGTAGAGCATTTCAATGAAAGCTGTTGAAATACATGGTAAAATAAATTTGACTACAACAGTTCTAATTTCTGTAATCTTTCCTAGTTTAGTGCTTAAGTAACATGACTGATAAAAATAATGTTACCTAGGTGCTGCCAGTGTCTTTGGAGATTATTATATATGGGATAACCTAAGATTTATAACTTCTACAGGAAGCATTTAGCATTTCACAGCTCTTCTTATACCCTGAAATTCTTTCCTCATTTGAAATTTACACAAAAGATTCTATTTGATGTATGGCTTGGTATACACGAATTATGTAATGATTGCTGAGGAGAAACACTATAAAAGTGCAGACCCCGATAGTCAAGTTAAATGATCCTTTCCACATTCTATTACCTCTGTGTCACCTCTATTAATCTAAGCCTCCACAAATACACCCTTGATTAGGAGATGATTGCAGCTCTGAGATTGTCATTTAGAATTTTGTGTTTTGCCATGTACGTTGAGATGTGTTTGGGAAGGAAGCAGTTTTCCTCATTTCAACACTTAGAGGACACAGGAAGTGCTCCCCTCCCCCTTAGCCCACAGCTAGAGTGAAGTGTGCTTGCAGATAAAACCAGGTCCTTTCAGTCCTTGCTTTGCTTGACTCCAGCTGCACTCCAGAGAACTATTTGTGACCTCACAACTCCAGTTGTCCCCACTGAGGCCCATTCCCTGTCTCAGCTTCCACAAATCCATCTTTCTGATTTCTCCTTTAACCCTCGGGCACCCCAGTCGCTGTTTCAGTCCCTTGCACTTTGTCTACCCGCGTGGACACTTTGGAGCTCCTAAGGATTCTGTCTTCTAGGCCTCCTTCTCATCTCCTGAGAATCAATCACCAAATGTGTGCGGATAAATGTGTAATTCTAAATGCCCAGCCCGGAAAGTAGGCTCTGTGTTCCTTCTGCCTTCCAGCTGTCCCCACTCCATTATGCTGTGCTTTTAAAACACTGACATTTCTTTTTCTCTGCACAGGCAACAAGTCCTCGGGGTTTGTTAAAAGAAGATGCCAAAGGCTCCCTTCAAAATAGCTTCCGCATTCTTAATGAGGCCAAGAAGTTAGCAAATGATGTAAAGGGTGAGTGTGGCCAATATCTTTATTATATTGAGATTAACTGCCTAGTAATCGGTAAGCCATTCTGTCACAGTGTTAAAGAATAAAATTGTTTCGGCAGGACTTTTATGATTATTTTATAATGTGGACGTAACGCAAGTAATCCTTCTCATAAGTTTTGAAATAGTTCATCTCACTGTCTTACTTGGCACTGAATAGTAGTTCAAATTTTAAACCTAATTTCTATAGCATTACTTTACTTATCTCTAATGCAAAATAATTTCTGGTATGATAAATTTTAGTTATATATATTTTTTGTTCAGAAATTATGGGGCCCAGGATGTAGCTCAGTGGCACAGCACCTGCCTAGAAATTGTAAAAGCTCTTTATTTTATTTTTAATTGACAAAAAGTATGCATATCGATGTGTCTAACAGGTTATTTTGAAATGTGAATACAGAGTGAGATGATTAAAGCAAGCTGACTAACATACACATTGTGATACGTACTTGTGCTGTTCTCACCACATGATCCAATAAATTTTCAAGGACCAAATTCCATGTTGTTTTGGCTCCAGAAATGAAAGTAGGGAATAATTCAATGAATGGGGCATAAATGTCTTTTCTGAAACTTTCAGTTTTGAAAGTGCCTTCTGAAATTTTTCCACATCTTTTAGATACATTTTTCAGGTGTCTTATTCCTAACTAAAGAACTAAAGTGCATAAAATACCTATTAGAGGTTTTGTGTTAAGAGTTTATTATTAAATGTTGTGTTCCTTTTATTGCTGCTGTCTCAGGTATCGCTTGTTTCTCATTGGAATTCCCTCCTGCTTCTCGCTTTAGTCTCAACCATTACTATTTTCTACCTAAATATTAATGCTCCTTCAAAAACATGCTTGCAAGAGTCAAAGTTTTCTCAGTGTTATTTCTTCACCTTGGAGTGCTCCACCCCTATCCCTCTTCTTCATCTGATTAACTTCTTCTGGACCTCAGGTTTCAATCTCAGGTCCTGCTCTCCAGGAAGCATAACCTGCAGTACTATTAGCCCGCCTCTTCTCTAGACATAGCCTTCCCCTGGGACTCATCCAGCCCATGGGTTACAAACTTTACTCCATCTTCTTTAGGAAAGACATAGGGTCTTTTGTTACCTTCGGATTTCTGGTGTATATATCACACCGCCCAGCTCAAATTGGAAAAAAAATTAATATATACTTTAAAAATGACTTGTTTTGGTTTTTACTTATCCCAGAAAAAGAAGGTGCTTAAAACTACATTATATTTGCAATGTTGTAAACTAATAAAGCATGGTCTCCTGCAGTGACCAATATGGAATGATAAAATCTATCTCCATTAAGGTAGCACTTTGAAAGTAAAAGGCTCAGACTGTGTATTATAGGTGAAACAAACCATCTACTTCCATAGTTCTGTGCAGCCAATAACTCTTGTTACATTCAGAAACATGACTCTAATGAGCCTAACTTTGTTTTCTTCTTGGACAATTGGAGTCAACCCCATTACTTTATGGTTACTTCTTCCTATCCAGTACCCTTCCCCAAGGGCAGGTGAGCAGGATGATTTATGAAAATGCAGGGACAGATCATGTCTTTCTTCAACACTTTACTATTTTATTCCTCATATATCTTTTTCTGCATTAATTTGGACTTGTTAAAATATTACATTAATTACTTCCAGTGCTCAGGAGATGTGGAGGAGGTGCTAAGGAAGGCAGATCGTAAGTTCAAACCCAGCCTGGCATCTTAGTAACTTAGTGAAATCCTGTCTTTAAGCCTTAAAAAATAAAAAACAGCCAGGCATGTAGGTTAGCATGAAAGCCCTGGGTTTTATCCCTAGTACTGAAAAAACAAAAACAAAAACAACAGAAAAAGGCAATAAAATATTTCTATGTCAACAACTGAGTTTTTGACTGTGATTTTAAATTTTACATATATTATATGCTATGCGCACCACACCCTTCCCCAGTCCTGTCCCTGCCTCTATTTCCCCATAAACACTGGTGCTATTAAAATAAAGGAAAAAAATCCATTTTTAGCTTTTGAAAAATAAATCTAAGGCCAGAGTTGGTAGAAAGGGTTAGGAGAAAGAAATGTTCATTACTTCCAGTGTCTTTTCTTGTACTTCAGGTAGTACATTATTTAAAGTAATGAAAATCCAGAAACTACTCAAATAATAATTCCTCCAGAAAACCAAGCCAAGACCATGACGGAGATGAGAATGTTTTCTTGCTACATTATGACATTCTCTTGATTTGTGGCCAATTACACAGGTTATAAAATGGCTGTTAATCAAGGAAATGCCATATATTACCACGAGGAACTGCTGAAATAGGCCCTACAGAGCAAAACTCTTGACAGCAGCTATTAAAATCGAGATTTAGTCATTTCTCTCTCTATGGTGCCTGGAGTTAGAAGGAATAAAAATGGCGGGGCCAGTGTACCCTCCATATTTCTAATTTGTTGCTTGGTTCAGCTCAGTACAATTCAGTTAACTCCTGAGCCTCAGTCACGAATGACTTACTGCTGCTCCCTGCCATTTTTATGCTGTCCTTGCCTTGAGGGAGCCTGAACTTGCCAGGAGCAATTTGTTTTACTTTTTAATTTTTGAATATACATCTCTTAAAAGTAAATTTGCCCTTGTGTGCATTTGAGCTTTGAAGCCAGTCTGTATTGCACTGATTGAATGTCTGTGGAGACAAAAATCATTTTGTTGATGGATACGAAGCTGGGTACAGACTGATGATTGAAAGAGTTAGAAGATGAATTAATGCCACCAGGTGAATTAATATTACTTTACAGATGAACAAGTTTTGTCAATAGAATAATTGAGGTTCTCACAGAATAGGTGCGGCGTGAGGAATGCAGAACTGTAGTAGATGGTACATTAGAAATCTGAGACTACTAAGATCTTATCTTACATACAGTAGCTTTTCAATCTTATTTAGCTCCTACTCCAGCCCTAATTTTGTCTTTGCCCAAGATAAATGAATTTCCATGCTACTTAGGAAAAATAAATAAGTAATAAATCTGTAAAATGAACAATTTTAGATGCTGTTTAGATGAAATAAAACACCTTTTTCCAGAACAAAGAAAAATGACCCAATGGATTACCTGACATATGGTGCTGTCTAACCCAGAGAGCAGAATAGAACATTACTCATTAATGTTTATCAAACTGATCAACAATTTCCCTTCTATGATATGGCTCTCCACATACTAATTGACTCTAAACAAGTGGATCACAAAGATTCTGAGGTCATGATAATAATTCTCTTGCAACTACTAGCCAGTTGAGATTTTATGTTATTATTATTGTATACTAAAAAAAAAGAATAAATCAGAATTCTGCAGTGCTATTAAATCAAGGTACGATATAGGAGTTTCATTTTAATTACACATTTTAATTCTTACATTGTTAAGGGTATATTCCTTTGGCATCTGCATGCTATAATGACCTGTATCAGCCTTTCCATGGGGCGGGGGGGCGGCACCTGAAAAACAAACACATTTTCCACTGATAAGAAGCAGGGTTTTTTTATTTTTTTATTTTAAGAATAAAGTTTTTTAAAAAGAAAACATTAAAAAGATATGGAAAGATTAAATAAAGTCCAAAAAGTACAATAGATATGAGAGGGAAAGGAACAGTTTTAGACTAGATAGATGAAGTCAAGTTCTGGACCCTCGGCCTTCCATACCTTTTTATCTTTTGTCATTTAAATTGCTCATACAAAATTTTGTTTCCTCTGTTGCAGTGTGAACAAATTAAAATTGAGAAAACAAAACTAGGATACAATAGGGTTAGTTGAAAAACAAAAGGTGCCAAATCAGTAGCAAACATACAGGGATGGAGGGAATTGGGACGATGTTCCCTAAGTGTGAGACTTAGCTTGTCATATCCCAGCCCATCATGTGAGCAGAGGGCTGAAACCAAACCTTCACAGTGTTCTTCTGTATCATTTTGGCAAGAGACAGATGGAGCACTGCACAACAAAATGGGATGTTGTGTGTATAGATTCATAATCTGGAATTCCATGGGGATTGTAAATAAATTTGTGTAGACAAGAGATCCTCACAAATGCCTACAAAACTCTAACAGACGACACAAGGGGTAGTATGGCTTGTGTTGAATCATAAAGTATTTACCTTATTTAGCATATTCAAATTCAAGTTTCTTGCTAGTCAAAGCAAAACAAGCTAGACTCCTCCAGTCAGGACCAAACAAGATTTTCCATGTTGGGTTATTTAGTTTCTCATTCCACTGGCTTCAAAGAGAACTCTCCTGGTGTGCAAAATGTTCAGAGAACATACCCCCAGATGAGCACCCCTTCCTTCCTTTCCTGAGGCATCTACTACAATGGTATAGGAGGAGGCAGAGCATAAGCAGTGTTAGGTAGCAGATATTAAAGACCTATCAAGCACAGCTATGCTCATCTCAAGTAAGACCTCACTTGAATGCTTTCTTTCTCACCAATGATGCTTTGTAAGTGACTCTGAAATATACAAAGAGTGACACATACAATGTCCAGTTCTTTTGGGAGGTTAAGATGTCATAAGATGCAAAAGTAAAACCTTTAAACTTAAGGCAAGTGTCTTCATCATGAAAAAGAACTAGAGTAACAATGGGATGAGAAATTCATCTGGCATTTTCTACTGGGTTCAGGAGGAAAACTCCACTACAGAGATGCTTAAGGAGCAAAAGTGCAAACATAATCTTCTTGTGGGCAATTTTAGAAAATTTGCTATTGACTTCTTTAATGCATATGACAATTGACAAGTAATTTAGCAAGTATGAATTTTGAAGTTTCCATTTATCAAAGGAATTATAAAAGCATATGCTGTGTATAATCATATAATCATGCAACACAGGTATATTTTATATATAATATATGATTTTTAAAATGAATAGGCTTGTGCAATATATTTTTATATGTGTTAGCTTGGTGAGACAGGGCTTAATGAATATTAACATAGGAAAGATAATATCCATTGACTACGATCAATGTGGTTAATG